TCTAGGAGCAAGGTGATAGTTCTGTTGAAGAACAATGAAGACATGATCGCTTTACGTATTTTTCTTTTCATGATAGATTGATTGAATTAATTAGACCAAAGAAAAAAGAAATTAGATCTCAATATATTATATGGCGCAATCAGAATTGCCTCCAGAATAATAATTGTCTCAAAGAATAAAGCATATGCTTCTTTTACCTTGCAATTAAATGACCCTATGGCCTTTTAAATGAGATGCATATACTTAATTACCTTTCCGCCTAAATGATCCTAACTTTAAGATAACAGTCTAAATGACCTTTTGACCTTTTGAATCAGTCTAGGATTATATCTAATTCTGAAGACAAAGGGAAAAGCATTTTGAAATGAATTACTAAAAGGGAAGTTTAAAATTTGGATCCCTTTTGCTTTGGTTCATCTCTTGAAACAATTGGCAAGATAAGGTGAACTGAGTTTGAAACTTCAGCAACATCCATATATTCTATTGGAGAATTTGCTACCCAAAGAAAATTGTGCTTTTGAGGAACAGGCTGTAAAGAGTTTTTCTATTTTCCCCTGGGTTGATATTTCCATGTTTAGCAAGTAAATTGTTACCTTGCTAGAGAATGGTCTATTAACATAGTTTAGATTTGCAAAGAGCTAGAGCTATTGTTAAGCATCAGCATGCGTGTCACTGGCACAAATGAAGTTTGAAAGGCAGAAGACATTTTTATTCTCTCATTATTATACTATAGGCAGTACGGCTATAACCTCTCTCCTTTTCTTCTCTTCTGTTGTTGAATATCTTAGCCTTTGGCTCAAAGATCACAAACAATCTTGAATAATGAGCTAGTTGACTTTGTTGAAATTTTGGTCTTCTTTGCAATTGTTTTTGTGCATGGGCAGCACTTGCTTGGCCCCTTGAATGTATAAGTTTTTTGTTCTTCTCGTTACCATTTTCTTTTCTAACTCGTCAAAGCGCCTTTCAATTGATTGTATGTGCAGGCAATGGCAAGGTACATTCGCCGGGAGATTACTTGTCTGTCTCTAACAGGTGCTACACTGTTTGCCCTCTCTCTTTAGGTTGAAGTCCTAGGTTGAGTTTGGTTTAAATCTGAATTATATGGATTAAGAACGGGATACAATATAAATAAGATAAACATTTGAGCAAAAGTAATATTATAATTTCAGCTCAGTTCTATCTCCAATCGAAGTTAGGTATTTTTGGTGTTTGTTTGATTGACAATTGAGAATTCCAATTCATTATTATGGAATTGAAGATACAGGTAAAGCATTATGAACTGAATAGAAATATAATAGATTGAACCAAATATAATGTAGTTGTTTTACCTCATCTTTGAATATTGAACTTGGGATTTATGATGTTGATTGAAATGCTACCTCAAACCATATTATCCAACCCTTGTGTCTGCTGCCATCTGTAGTATTCCACATTCTTAACAAAGTTATATGCCTATGAACAGATAAAGAAACCGTGTTTTCTGGGAATTTCATGTTCACTTCATTGGAGAATATGTCATCTAATTCTCTGAGAAGATGAAATAGAAGATCCCTGCAGGGTGTAATTAAGTAGTCTGTTGTTAATGCGGAGGATGGCAATAAGCGGAAAAGGAGACAAATGAAGTTATAACCAATTGCATATCACGAAGCTAGCAGATCATTCTTGGAGTAACTCTGTTACTTCTTATTTATTTGATTTTGTAGAAAAATAATTCACATAAATAGCTCTGAAGAATTTATGCTATGTTTTTTAATTTCTTTAAAATGAAGGAAGTACAAAGCAGAATATAGAAATGCAATATAGCAGACTTTGAATTTTGTATTGTTTGGTTGGTAACTAGGGTGAGAAGAGAAGAGTGCACTTGTGATCTCTTGAAGCATGGATGCAAGTTTCTGCATGTCTTTTTTGGTTTAACAACACGGTGCTTGATTGAGTTATGTAATTTGTTTAATAAGCAGGAAAGCTGCTGACTAGATGAGCTCCTTATATTTCTCTTTTGTTATTCTTTTTAATCTTAATATTGATGCTTTCTAGAACTTATAAATTAAAAAAGAATAAATTGATATAAAGAGTAATTTTTGAACTAATAATATAAGAACAAATTTTAGAATATTGATTTTATTTCAACATATAATTATTAAATGAGGTTGATCATTGAATTGATGGTTTAAAAATGTACTCAAATTTCATAGTTGTAAAGTACATTTAAAAAAAAAAAAAAAAAAAAGAAGAAATTAAAGAGTCCCTCATCATTATTTGAATTGACCAATTTAAAGTGAACTAGTTGGTTGGTTTTGAGATCACTTGTGATTTATTTTTATTTTTGTTTATTATATTTATCAAATTAGTCAGTCAGACTGAAAATATACAAAGATAATTATTAAATAAATAAATGTTCCTTCTAATTTATTTCTGTTTAAAAAGGTAAAGTATGATTGGAAAATAAAAATATTTAAGTTAAAAAGTAAATTTTATTTTTAATATTTAATAAACGTAAAATTAAAATTAAATATTAGCTTTATTGCAGCAGCTGAAATAAATATATTAAATACTTACATATCTAAATTACTTTGATATTTTTAAAATATAATAGTACTTTATTAGTACTTTTATATTAAAATTATATATATCCTAAAATTTAAATAGTAATGATTTAAATTAATACACATTTATATAAAATAGAAAACAAGTTTATAATAAGCATTTTAAAGATAATTTAAATTATTAAATAAAAACTTAAAGAATTTTTTACTATTTAAATAATTTTATTAATCAATTTTTTAATTATATACTTATTTTGGTTCAATGTTTATTATTAATTCTACAATATAATTTCGCCGAGGGTAAAACAAGATTTTGATGTAATTTATTTACCACCTGTTAAAACTTTTGCAAGCCAAAGAGGCTAATGAGAAGATGAGAAGGACGTTTAAGCAACAGACGGAAAATTCTCTCATCAAGAATGCTCCTGTCTGGGTGCTTAGGCTGAAACTCGTATATTATACTGGTCGGGTCTGAGAATCTACAGAGATAACCTTTTCTCTATCTGTCTCTGGTTGTGGCGGCTGCTGCAAGCTGCATTATCATTTTGTAAAACAAAAAAAACAAAAAAAAAAAAGATGAAGGCTTTTGCATAGCCTACGCTCTTCTTTACACTATTTATCACCACCAACAATGACCTTCTCCATCAAATTTGGACTTCCTCTATCAACCAAATTCCCGCCCTATTTTCCCAACCACAAAGTAAATCTCTCTCTCTCTCTCTCTCTCTCTGTACGATTATTTAAGCTTTGTTATGATTTTTTCCTTTCAAACATGTCTTCTAATGCCATATTTTGTTTGTTTTTCTTTGGTTTCTGGACAGGAAAGAAGTTCAAATGTTACTCTACCGTCTCAAGTTATCCACAAATCAACTGGAGTAGTCACAGCTCAGCTTCCCTTTCTTGCACACGCTGAAACTTCCGACAAGTCTCAAATTCAATCCGTAATTGATCTCCTACGCGACTTCGCAGACAAAGGGTATGCCAAACAGGTGCAAGCGCTTCATGGGCTTGTGTTAAAATCCAATTTTTCTGATCAAGACTTGGTGGTACTTTTGAATCATGTGGCCCATATGTACTCGAAATGCTCAGATTTTGACTCTGCTAGGCGAGTTTTTGATAAAATGTCGCAGAGGAACATATTTTCTTGGACTGTCATGATTGCTGGATCAACAGAGAATGGATTTTACCTTGATGGGTTTGACTACATTGTTCAGATGTTAAATCATGGAATTTTACCGGATAAATTTGCCTATTCTGCGGTTTTACAGACATGTATTGGTTTAGATTGTGTTGAATTGGGCCAAATGGTGCATTCCCAAATTGTTATTAGAGGCTTTACATCTCAAACGTTTGTTGCTACGTCTCTTCTTAATATGTACTCAAAGTTAGGAAGGAGCAGCGATTCGTATAAAGTATTTAACACCATGGCAGAACATAACGAAGTTTCTTGGAATGCTATGATATCGGGTTTTACAATGAACGGTCTTCACTTAGAAGCATACAATCATTTTGTTAGGATGAAGAATGAAGGAGTTAAACCGAATGTATACACGCTCATCAGTGTCTCGAAAGCAGTTGGACAATTAAGTGATGTCTATAAGGTTAGAGAGGTTCAAGATGTTGTATCTGAATTGGGCATGGAGTCTAATGTTCTTCTGGGAACTGCTTTAATCGATATGTACTCAAAATGTGGACTTTTGGATGATGCATGGTCTGTTTTTGATGCAAATTTCTTCTGTTGCAGACTGAACACACCATGGAATGCAATGATTTCAGGCTATTCACAGCACAGGTATGCCAAAGAAGCTGTGGAACTCTACAAAAGAATGTGCCAAAAGGATATCAAACCAGATATATACACTTACTGTAGTGTATTCAATGCAGTTGCTGCTTTGAAATGTCTACACTTTGTCAAGGAAGTTCATGGGATGATCGTAAAAAATGGACAAATTATGACAGTCATAAGTGTTTGCAATGCAATTGCTGATGCTTATGCTAAATGTGGCTCTCTCAAAGATGTAAAGCAGCTTTTTGACAGGATGGAGGAGCGAGATATGATCTCTTGGACAACCCTGGTGACTGCTTATTCCCAGTGTGGTGAATGGGACGAAGCACTGGCTATTTTCTCACTGATGAGGGAAGATGGCTTTCAACCGAATCAATTTACCTTTTCCAGTGTTCTTGTATCGTGTGCTAGCCTTTGTTTTCTTGAATATGGTCAGCAAGTCCATGGACTTATATTCAAGGCTGGCTTTGAGAGTGACAAATGCATAGAGAGTGCTTTGCTTGACATGTATGCCAAATGTGGCTGTATAATTGAGGCAGAAAGGGTTTTTGATAAATGTGATGACCCAGATACAATTTCATGGACAGCTATAATATCAGGCTGTGCTCAAAATGGTATGATAAAGGATGCTCTTCAACTTTTTACAAAAATGGAGTTACAAGGATTGAAACCCAATGCTGTTACCCTATTGTGTGTTCTGTTTGCTTGCAGCCATGGAGGAATGGTAGACGAAGGCCTATATTATTTTCAACTGATGGAGGAAAAATATGGTCTCGTGCCACAGATGGAACATTTTGCTTGTATTGTTGATCTCCTGGGTCGTGTGGGGCGGTTGGACGAAGCATTGGAATTTATAAGGAAGATGCGCATTGAACCAAATGAAATGGTTTGGCAAGCACTGCTGGCGGCATGTAGAGTTCATGGAAATCTTGAGATGGCAGAGATTGCTGCTCAGAAGATCCTTTCCATCAATCCGGAGTACTCGTCTACCTATGTTCTTCTGTCCAATACATACAAAGAGACGGGGAGTTTTGAAGATGGACTTATTTTCTGGGATGTAATGAAAGAGCGTGGTGTTAGAAAGGAACCTGGATATAGCTGGATTTATGTCAAAGGTAAACTCCATAAATTCTATTCAGGAGATCAACGACATCCTCAAAATGATGACATATACTTGAAGTTGGAAGAGTTAAGGGACAATGTGAAGTCCATGGATTATGTACCCTACTTTTGTCTTGAGACCTGACTTAGGCTGTAGAGCAATAACTGAGGAGTACAAGTAATGGAATCTCAAAAGAGAATGAGTGACTATATTTATCTCATGCACAGTACGATTTCAACAAACTTCTTTACTAGAAAGAATGATAAATTCCATTCGGGGATGTTGGAGAGATATCCAAGAACAACTAGTGGAAAGTCACAAGTAGTTTGGATTATATACCTGCAGCATATACACAATATCAAATTCAATAATAGTCTGCTTGAATAAATCGATAAGATCTCATGTCCAAATACAGAGAGCAGAAGGGAAAAGTTTTTAAGAGCTATGGTATGGTTGCCATCTTGAACTGAGGAAGCTGATGATCTCCAAAATTTTGTTATAGCTCCTGAATGGACTATATCTCGAGCAGGTAAATGATAGCAAGAATATTTCTTTTATATTCTTTACCGTTTGGACTGTGTTGTATGTATATTGTGTTGAAATGAGCTAGCAAAAACAATTCAAGACATGGAACAGTCTAAACTACAATTATTTTCTAAATAATTTTCTGTGACCGCCCTTTTGGTCCTGAAAGTGGATTAATTTTACTATCTTGAATTCCTTGTGTTTACTAGTTCCTGGCTTCATTAAGTTGATTAAAATGCTTACTTTCTATGAATCTAGTTGGTCTGATTGTTCGGGTTTTAATGTCACATTAGTGCTCAAGTTGTAATCCTGTCACACAGATTTTACGGTTAAAATGTCGGGATGAGAAATGTAATCCTTTCTAATTGCTATTTCTATTTGTAATGAGCTTGTAAGGAAATGAGTTTTATAAAGAACTTCGAACTCAATTTGAAACTCAATCAACTGAAATGAAGCAGTAGTTTGACCGAGCTAGCCCCTAAAATATATTGCTGAGCAAGTTTGGTTGAGGAGACAAATATTGTTAATTTGTGTTGGTTGTTTAAAAGGTCAAAGCTCAAGCTTACTCCAGAATCAACTTAAGTATCTTGCTGCATAATCTTTGTGCAGAAGAGTTTAGCATGGTAAAGAAATAGAGGGTCTTAAAAATACTCTCCTCCTTTCCTCCCAAAAGAACAAAGCCATTAATAAAAAAAAAGGAGATAATTATATAACTTCTACCAAAAGTTTGACCATGTTTCCCAGAGCAAAAAGAAGCAAAAGACACCAAAAGTCTCCTCAATTTCTTGCCAACCATCTTTATCAGCTGAACCATCGCAACAATGATGATCTATTG